CCTTGTGTACAATATTAAACTACGAAACTTGTGTCTAGTACAGCCTTGTGTACAATATTAAACTACGAAACTTGTGTCTAGTACAGCCTTGTGTACAATATTAAACTATGAAACTTGTGTCTAGTACAGCCTTGTGTACAATATTAAACTACGAATCTTGTGTCTGGTACAGCCTTGTGTACAATATTAAACTATGAAACTTGTGTCTGGTACAGCCTTGTGTACAATACTAAACTATGAAACTTGTGTCTGGTACAGCCTTGTGTACAATACTAAACTACGAATCTTGTGTCTGGTACAGCCTTGTGTACAATATTAAACTATGAAACTTGTGTCTGGTATAGCCGTGTGTACAATATTAAACTACGAAACTTATGTCTAGTACTGCCTTGTGTACAATACTAAACTACGAATCTTGTGTCTGGTACAGCCTTGTGTACAATACTAAGCTACGAATCTTATGTTTAATAAAGTCTTGTACATAAATTGGGTTTATTATAGTTGTAAATAAGTATTGTATCATATTAAAACAGCTCGTGTTCCTCTCACGTACAGTAGTTTTATTATCCGAGGTGAACCAGACGTCCAGTGTAAGCAAGACAGTAATTACGGTTTATAAACTGACACAAACACACAGGTTAATCGTAAAAGTTCTAGAAGTTGCTGAAGAAAGTCTGAAATTTATGCATAAGACACCTTTCATCTTATGCAAATAATATTTTACTTGTCTTGATAAACGTCACACTATTATACAGTGTAATAAAAACACAATGGTAACCAAGGTAAACTGCTTTGAAACCAAACAAAAATTGCATCATCAATCTATTTACCTATCTTTCCCTCAGTCTTTTGGTCGACCTATTTATTAAGTTAGTTGTCGTTTATAACAAAAACTGTAATTATTCAAGTTTTAAAACAACAATTTGGTTGTAAGACTGGCTTGAAACTAAAGTTGGTGAATAGTATTATATACCAGCACTAAACTACTGTAGGTGAGAGGAACACGAACTGTTTTAGTATGATACTAGTACTGGTATATAATACTATTAACTACTGTAGGTGAGAGGAACACGAACTGTTTTAATATGATACTTGTGCTGATATATAATACTATTAACTATTGTAGGTGAGAGGAACACGAGCTGTTTTAATATGATACTAGTGCTGGTATATAATACTATTAACTACTGTAGGTGAGAGGAACACGAGCTGTTTTAATATGATACTAGTGCTGGTATATAATACTATTAACTACTGTAATTTTCTTGTGTAACAAATTATATACTTATTTTTATAAAGAAGATAAATTATTGTAAATGAACATTTTTTAAAAATAATACCGCATGGAGGCAGTCAAGTTGAAAGGACA